AACCCCCTAAACCCTAAACCCTGCGCCCTAAACCCTAGTGGGCACACGGGCTCCTCCCTGCCAGGCTGCTTATGACCTGTCCATCTTTGTAGACCTGCAGCGTCTGGTCGACGCACTGGGCATGCACATCCACCGTCCTTTTGGGGAATATGGAGTTGGGATGTTCCCCCCTTATACCAGCAGCTCCTTAATAGGGATTCTAGTACCCCCCCCCCCCTCTAATCCGTATTCAGGACTGTTAGTATAATGGAGGGGAACATCCCAAAATATAGGGTTCGGAGGATTGAAGGCTTTTGGACAAATACCACAGCCAAGATTGTTGAGAGCGAGAAGACTCATGGGGATGTGCAGGAACTCTTCTTCGTTGGTCACACTAAGGCTTGTAGGGTTCCAGGGCCTAGGGCTTGGGGCTTAGGGTCTAAAATTTTGCCAAACACAGTCCTGTTGGAGGCCACAAGCGAGCTGAGCCCATGCAGATTGAGCTGAACAAGCTCGTGAACGTTGCCCGGTGTCCTCGGCCAAACATTTCTAAACCCCGAGTCCCAAGCGCCTGAAAACCCCCCAAAAAAATAAAAGCACTGGACTTACTTTAGTTAAGCCCCAGATGGCTCACAACCCTAGAATGCCAAACACCTAAACTCGAGGCCCAATTCAATTAGCCACCCAAACCCTAAGCCCAAAACATCACAAAAACTCCTTACCCCTTACAAGGATTTGGGGGAACCTTCTCTAGAGCAGTACACCAAAAAGCCGTAGAGATCTCTTCCTCTCTCTGGGACTAAGGAAGAGGGCTCACATTTTAGGGTTTGTGATTGTGTTGGAGGGTAGCCATGCTTAAACCCGAAAGCACTCTCTCAAGCCGATGTATTATGGTCCTTTTTGGGCTGCCTCTTGTCCATGAAAAGACCCGAAGTTTGAACGACACAAAGGGGGCCCAGATGCTCTGCGGGCCTTAAATGCGACAGGGTGCTCCTGCGTCAGTTCGAGCTTGACTCGCTTGACATCCTCCGAGCTGCCAGCAGGTCCAATCTTCCCCGAAGGTGGGTTTGGCTTCAGCGATCTGGAAGGCGAGATGAAGTCAAACCTTGGATGTCTGAGCGTCAGCCACACCTGAACCCCAACCCGAAACCGAAGGCTTCATCCGCAAACCCTGAACTGTGAACGCGGCAAAGCGAAACAGTTAAGCTGTTAAACAGTATCCGATGCCATTGCTGCTGCGACACGTGGCGGCTCTGGAGCCTTCATTTCTCCTGGACATAACATGAGGGTGTGCAGGTCTTGGCAAGGGAAACATCGCAATTCTGAAACGTAATAAAACAAATGCCAACCCTAGACAGGTGGCAGTATGATTTCTCGTTGATGAATCCGCTTGGTGACCTCAGTCGAGCGTCATTCGAGCTCGCTCCATCAATAGGGCGTGACTGACAATGTAAGAGGTGGGCAATTGCGCCAAAGTCGACCATCGTGTCAAAGGTGATCACGGCGCACGGAGCTTTTGCACAGAGCTCTACTTCGTAGCGAAAGTCCTGAAGACAAACGGGTCGAAACGATGCACAACGTGTATCGTTTTCCTGGCTTCGCTTGGCACTGTCCGCCACTAGGAAGTCACTACAATGGCACCTCCAGCCTGCACTTTGAGTCACTTCCAGCTTTAGCATTGCCATTTCAGGGCATCATTTGTTTTGTCAAATCACGGTCACACATGCAAATACAGGACTGTAGTGAGATTTGGATCTAGATGCAAACATGAACATTTTTAGATATGCATCTGTATATATATATATGTATACATATATGCGCATATCATGAGCACAGGTGTACCAATATACAATCGAAAAACATATGTTCTTGACAACATTCCCTGGCTGGGCAGCCTCGGCTGTGATGACAAGCTTGTCAACGTAGTCGTAGGGCTTCCGGGTGAGGAACTCCACATCTATCGAGACAGAGAGACCCGGCGCAACGCCGATCTCGTTCCTGACGCGGCAACATATGTGCCGGCAAAAAAAGCGCGCATGAGCACCCAAAGCCCACATAAAAGAGGGGCAGAAAATGTGGAGAACAAAAAGGTTGCAACCTGTACCAAGCATCTCGGTGACTACTCTGAACTCTGCAGATCTGGGCACTTCACAGCGGATGCGCTTGGCATAAGTGCTGAGATTCCTCACCACGAGGGTCTGAATGTACCTCAGTGCTCAAGCAGCTCAAGCACGAAAACATGAAAAACCACCGGTGCTGAGTCGTTGCTTTGAGGCAGCCACTTCATGTTGGCCTCGATGTTGTCAAAGGTGATGGCCGTTGGTTCGATATGCAGGTGTCTGCCATGAGGCACAATGGTCGCATTTCGCGACCCTTTGATCATGGCGGCTTGGCAGCTTGTTTCGCTTCTCCGGCCGCTCCAATCACGACCTACCTACCTACATGCTCGGCAATTCTGGGCGGGCCGAAATTCAACACAGATGGCATGAGCACGGCCACTGTGCTGCAGAGATTCTATGGCCTTTTGGTGCATGCAACCCTCCAAAACGTGATCCAGACAGGGTCAGGGCTTTTAAGGTTTATGGTCTAGGTGAGATTGCCTAAGAGCTTCCACGCGCATCTTTGATGCCACTGCTGGGCACACGGTGTCGGGGTATCTGCTGTGCACGACAGCAGCACGTACCCAGTGAAATGTAGCGAAACACGCAGCGGCTGTACTCAAACATTGCGATTGAGGTCATCGGCATCTGGAGCATCCTCGTCCAGCCACATTCAGTAGATGAGGGAGCCAGACAACATCTACAAGAGGAGGTGCCCCTCCTCCTCTGCCTGAACCAGCTGCAGATCTCTACACTTCTTACCCCAGGGCTGCGGCATTGCTGAGCAATGCTTGCCCTTCCCCGCTTTGCATGCAGCCCACCCCTGGCCGCATGTGCTGCATAACCCTCACTCAACCATGTGACCATCAGCATCCTCTGGCTTCTTGCCTTGGGCTCGATGTCTCCTGAAACTCGCAAGGCTCCGCTTCGTGCTGCTGGAGGTAACCACCGTCCCCAACTCGAGCAATGCTGCCACGTCCGTCACAAGGTAGCTCTGGCCATCCATCTGGAACGTCGGCCCTTCGGGACCCTCTTGTATCGTCAGCTTGAGAACCTCATCGCACTTCTTGGCTCCTGCGCCTTTCCCTGACGCTTCCGGCTCCGGAAGCTTCAGCTCCTCGTCAGGCTGCTCGGAATCCTTCGCACGCTTCTTTGAGTCTGTCTGCTTGGGGCATTTTGTCGCCCGTGTAACCTTTTCCGGCGTTTCTTCACAGATGCGTGTTGAGGAGCATAAGGGCTGCCGCGCTGGCGTTGCCATGGCCGAGGCTCTGGGACTCAGAAAGGCTATGTGGCCTGGACCAACCACGAGACAACACCCCATACAGAACACAAAAAGCGTGTGGAGTAAAAAAGTTCGAACCTGTATCACGAGTCTTTGTGACCACTATGAACTCTGCTGGTTTGGGCACGTCACAGCGAATGTGCTTGGCAGAAAGTTGGCAGAAAGCGCTGAGATTTCAGACCAAGCAAAAGCCTCAGGTCCGCAGGCCTTGCTGCAACGCAGTCACCAGAACATGATCCCTGTCAGGGTTTTAAGGTTATAGTCTAGGCTATCTTCCCTGGTCCAGATGAGACTGACTAAGAGCTTCCGCGCACATCTTTGATGCCAATGCTGGGCACACGGTGTCGGGGTATCTGCTGTGCACGACAGCGGCACATACCCAGTGAGATGTAGTGAAACACGCAGCGGCTGTTGCTCAAATATTGCGGTTGAGGTCATCGGCATCTCGAGCATCCTCGTCAGGCCACATTCCGTAGGTGAGGGAGCCAGACAGCATCTATACACTTCCTACACCATCTTGCAATGTTCAGACAGTGCTTGTTACTTAAGGATTTTCGTTACGGCACGGCCTTGGCGTAGAGCTGCGCATGCGTCAACCTGGGCTTTCGACGGGTCACTGACAGATCTGAAAGGCACGCTCAAGCGTACGATCGTATTCTAAAGCGTATTGAAGTACACTTAAGTACGAGTATGTTAAGGATACTAATCGGAAGCGTAATAAAGTTTCTCAAGGTATGTTCAAGACAAAGGCGCATTGGGCTCACTGTGTTGCTGAGATGATGGCGTCTCACAACGTGCACAAGATAGTACAGGTCACACAGCTGTCAAACCTGGAGCGCTAGGCGCCCAAGCCCAGCAGACAAAATGCTACATGTAGCCAATACGGTCACTTCCGAAGATAGGAGTACCCCCTTAGAAACCCCACATAGAAAAGAATCCCCTTAAGAGGGACCCTCGAAAAGATTACTTGCGGAAACACCGAAAGACCTAGGGATACCAAGGCTTGCAGGCCCAGATGCAGGAATGCAGCAGCAGCCAGCACCGCTGAGCTGACCTGCTGCGCTTAAGGGATAGGGCTTTGGGGTTTTGGGGTTTGGGGTTGGGTTTTTTAGGTTAGCCGAAAGCCGGCTAGCACATGCAACAGCAGATAAGATGAGGGCGCCGCGTGGTAAAAGCAGTACGTCACGACGGATGCTCTCGAGGAAACTGTCCCGACGACAGCAGCAGCCACCTCTCAGACACGGGCGAAGGTCTGAATTCTCTGGCTGCCCTCCTAAACCCTAAGCCCTGAAGCACCAAAATCGCTACACCCAAACCCCTGCAATCCGAAACCCCTAGAACTTGGGCTGTTCCCCCTCATACCAACAGTCCTGAATAGGGATTTTGTAAGGATTGCTAGTATAAGGGGGAACATCCTTACCTAGAACCCTAAATCCTAAATCCTAAACCCTAAACCCTAAACCCTAAACCCCCCAAAATTTCCAGCAAAACCGGACGCTCCAGTCCAGGGCACCGCCGAGCCGGGGTTCATCAAAGCACCCGAGATGTTGCCCACCTCAGGCAGGAGATCCAAGGAATTCAGGGTTGAGGGTTGAGGGTTGAGGGTTGAGGGTTGAGGGTTGAGGGTTGAGGGTTGAGGGTTTGGGGTTTAGGGTTTGGGGTTTAGGATTGGGGGTTGGGATTTGAGGTCTGGGGTTTCGAGTTTAGGGCTGATGGCACCCTGCAACATACGGGGCTTAGGCCTTCATCTGAGGTTCTAGAGGGTTCATAGGGTGGAGGGCTTATAGAGCTTGTAGGCTCTTTTCGTCAGCCCTTGGCCCCAGGGTGTTTCTAGGGGCGTTAATCATTTCGGGATTTAGGGCCTTTTTGGGTTGCGAGGGCCCTTTTTGATCCACACTTGGGGTGGCCCACAGACAAGACCGAAGCAAAACAAGAACATGGCAAAAGGCAAAAGCAGGCCGCTGAAGACCTGGCGTGCGTGCTTCTGAGCAAGTTCGGAAAAGCGCTATGCCCAAGCTTCACGCTGACAGCGTCGTTGCCACAACGACGGAGCCGTACCTGCGGAGGAACTCTTCGCAGCAGCCCTGTTCTTTCGCTCCACTGTTCACGAACTCGGCACCACAAAGTGAAAAGGGCACGCCAGTCCAGAGAGATTGTTCTGCTTTGACCTGCTCCACATGACAAACGTTCTGCGCATGTCCGCCGGCATGCAGACACTGATTCTACTGCGGGAACGCCACCTTGCACCATCCACCGGAAAGGTCGCGCTACTTGCAAGCACGACCTTTACCAGCAAACGGAGCTCAGGAACACCATCATGCCACATCCGAAGCTTGCTTTGGCCCTACTTGTCCGAATGAGGCAACATACTGCGGCGAACTTCAGCATGCACGGGCTGCGGCGTAGCACAAGAAGAAGGTGCCGAAAGCTTCAGCGATCATGACTTGACCTTGGCACAGTTTCTCGAACTGCAGCTCCCACGCAAGCTAAACGCCAACATGCAAGAGCGTTCTGAGCTAGTCGCCGGCCGTTGAATCCTGGGTGAATCGGTGACTTTCGGGACACGTGGAAGGCATCATCACCTTCCTTCAAGGCCTGTTACAGCCTCCGGCTTGTGAGGCCCGCGCCTGTCCAACCGGTGCAGCGAAGTTGTGGCCGCCTGTGTGCACCTGCCGCTCGAGCTTGTTTGATTGGGTTCGCGGGCTTCAGGCACTTGGTACATTCGCCCCAACACAGCTCAGGCACCATGCCAGCAACTGCCGCGGCGAGCATGGCTGCGAGCACCTCCGATGCAGGCACGCTGCAAGCTGGGTCCCGCCAACACTCGCGCCTCTTTACTGGCCTGGGCAGCAGTGTAGAAAAGGCCGAAGCCTCAAGATCATCGGATTGGCAGCAGACGTATGCTTCTCATGTCTAATGACCCCAATGCATCAAAGCCACGCAAGTCTCCGACGTCGTTTCCAAACCGTGCGGTGTTGAGCTCCTGTGGAGTTTGAGTTGCTCTCATTTTCCTGGTTTTAGGGTTGAAGGCCCTAGTAGTTTTTTAGGGTAGGTGGGTTCTTGGTCCCCTCTCTCAAAACATGTCCGTGCCTCCGCCGGGGTGCGACCACTCGCACGCACTGCCAGCGTCACTGCTGGGTTGAAGTGCGCTCCCGACACGTCACGGAGGGCCTGGGAACCGTACGTCACAGAACTGTAGTTGCAAAACGAAGTTGCTTTTCATTATGAAGCGTTTCTGAAAATGCATGCATAGGGTTTTCAATTCAAGGTTTAGAAGGTTTAGGGTATAAGGTGTTTCGGAGTAGGTGGCGGGACTAGGGCATCATGGGCCCATGAGGAGCAGCTCGAGCAACTCAGCACGCGATGTATTTTGCTTTCTGTCGCTCCATCAGCCGTCTGCATCCTGCGCAACGCAAACCTCAGATTGATTGGAATGAAGGGCCGCAACCCTACAAACCCTAGTTAAGGTTCTGTGTGTGCCAGTGTCTGAGATCCGATAAACGATGACGCGTCACTGCAGTCTTCCTCTTCTTGGCAGCACTGACCGCTGCCGGCACATCTTCGGCTGCCTTGCGACGGCCTCTCAAGACATTACGGCTTTTTCCGGTTTCAGGGTTTCACGCCGCGCGACATCCCAGCTGCGCACCGTGACACGATGTCTGCAGGAGCCACGCACAAGGCCTGGAACTCTTTGTCCAGCACCCGCAACACACTCCTCCAGTACGCGAGCTCCTTCAAGAGCCCAGGACAGCATACTTGAGAGCAGGGCGAACGAAAGCTAGGGCGCAGGTGTGAAGACCGCGCTGCTCAGCCCTGAAATGATAAGTAAAAATGCTGACCTAAGGGGGGGCGGGGGGGGGGGGGTCCTAAGGGGGGGGGGGGGGGGGAACCCCCCCCCCCCGGAACATGGGCCCCCCCCCCGCCGTAGGTCCCAGCCTCCAAGCATTTCTTGTGTTGTTACCCCCAAAGGGGGGGGGGGGGGGGGGGGGGCGCCCCCCCCCCCATGGCAGCTTAAACCTCCGATATATCGGAGATTAAGGCCCCTGAGTGCTGTTTGACCCAAGAACAAACTGGTAAACAAGAACTCCCGCAAGCTCCAAAGGAGCTAGCTTTCGTGATCATAATAGGATGTCACGACATGGGTCTTGCTCAACATAGGGGACCACCCCTCCCCCCCCATAAAAACGATCATCTCCCCAAAAAGGGTACCCCTGTTCTTGGCAAACCCCCTGTGATTTGCAGCCTGGCATTGAGGCCAAGGGCGCTGGCGCCGAGGCCTCGGCCGCCTCCACAACGTGGGGCTGCGGGGGAGTTGAGGGGTTCTAGGTTGGGATGTTCCCACTTACACTAGCAGTCCTTAATAGGGATTATAGTACACCCTATTACAATCCGTATTAAGCACTGTTAGGAAAAGGGGGAACATCCCAAGTTTTAGGAGTTTAGGGGTTTGGGGGCTTTGGGGTTAAGGGGTCTAGAGGTTTTCGGATTAGACCACCATGACCCTCCCAGACCAGCAAACTCATGTCCCAAAGCCGCTATTGAGTCCAACCGAACTGTGTGCCTTTTCGAGGGGCGGGCGGGGGGGAGTAGGGATCAGAACATGGAAGTTTGTGAGGGGGTCCCCTGTTTTGCGGACCATGCCCCCAGGATCATGCTCCTCCACAGCTCTTGAGTTGGGAAGGGCCCTCGACTGAAGAACACCATGGCCTCTGCCTGTCGTTGTCTGCCTTCCCTCAAGAGGCCCCAGCTAAGGTAATTCAGGCCCACAATCTAGTGAGCTTTTCTTTGAAACCCAAACTCCCTGAACCCCCCTAAGCCCCCTAAGCCCCCTAATTGAGCCCCCTTGCAAGCAAAACAAAAAAACACACACACACACACACACACACACACTCACACACTAAACCCTCAACATCCCTCAACATCCCCAAACCCTAAACCCCCTAAACCCCCCTAAACACCCTAAACCCTCAAAACATCCGTCAACATCATTCAACATCCCTCAACAACCCCCAAACCACCGCCTGTGGCAGCCGGGCCGGGGGCCGGCGGAAGACTGGTCGGCTGGGCACCGCTTCCGGAGACGCTTCCTGGCTTGGGCCCTCCCGAGCTTGCCGCTGCCGCCGCAGGGTCGCGAAAAGGTCCTTGGGAGCCAAATCGGTAGGGTTTAGGGTTTAAGGTTTAGGGTTTAGGGTTTAGGGTTTAGGGTTTAGGGTTTAGGGCTTAGGTTTTTTTACAACCCCAATGACCTCTTTTAGATGTCTAGCGCTTGCTTGGGGTTCTTGTTGCCCAGGGTTTAGGGCTTAGGGCTTAGGGCTTAGGGCTTAGGGCTTAGGGCTTAGGGCTTAGGGCCTAGGGCTTAGGGCTTAGGGCTTAGGATTTAGGGTTTAGGGTTTAGGGTTTAGGGTTTAGGGTTTAGGGTTTAAGTTTAGGGTTTGGACTCCAAACGCCACGAGATCCTCTGGATGAGCAGATGGGCCGTTCTCTCAGCGATGGTGAGGGTACCCCCGAATTTCTAAGCCTTGCTGTCGTAACTTCAGCAACCCAAAGGGCCGCCCCCAACAATTGAGCTGCCCGGACTAACCCTTGTGAAGCCAAGCCACGGCTGCAGCCTTTCGGTTGTCTTCCGAGCTGGTCGCTCGGGTTCCAGCGAGGCTGTGGAGTTGCCACTTCGACCTGGCTGCCGCCAGCTCGGGCCTCTGCGGCCAAGGCTTGCAGTAGCGGTAAGGCGACTTGCAGCTGGTCATGCCCCACTTTGGGGGGGTGTGCTTCTGACCCTATCTAGGATTCTTGCAACTTCAAGTAGGATGCCCTTATCAGCAGGCTTCTGAAACAGAACCCCCTCATCGAGAGAACCCCAATAGATGAATGAACCGCCACGATTAAAAGGCTGCGGAGGGCATCGCCAAGAGGCTGGGAAAGGTTCTTGAAGCGAGGGCCAAAGGAGCTACCACCAGGAAGAGCCGCTTCACCTTTCCGGACATGTTGGAACTTGCTTGTGTGCTTGTGATGCTTGAGCTTTGGACCTGAGACCGCCTGAGGGTATGCCGGGTATGCCGGGTATGCTTGCAACCTGCTGGGCCTTTTGCAGGTACGTAGAACATGCTTCCAGATTCCGCACAGCTGGCAGTGTGCCTTCGAAGATCCATGAACCGGGGCGTGCCCGCTGCAGCGACGTCTGACCCCGTCTCCCTGCCCAGCCTTCGCCCGCTGCGCTAAGCGCGCTCAGCACCTCCTCCGAGGCCGAAGTCGCAGCGGGAGCACCAGGCGGCAGCTCCTTGAAGCGAAGCCCTGGCAGACAACTTCCAAAAGTGGGTATGTGGGATTGCGATCACAGACTGCTTGCGTGCCTGTTCGCTTCTTCTTCGGAGGACCTTGAGGACCTTCATTGTCCTCATCGTTCTCATCGACCTCATCCTCGCTTTCAGATGCTTCTGAGTCCACGAAATCCTCGTCCAAACTTGCAGCCGCCCTTGCAGTCGCTTCCTTGGAGACCTCAATTTCCTCCAGGGCGCCCTCCAAGCAGTATCTTCCGGATGTCGTCTTTCTCGGCTCCTCTGGCACCTCCTCTGCTACGGTCTCGGCAGTCTCGGAGGTGAGAGAAGGCCGGGTGATCTGGTCGAGCACCGCGGCCAGGTTCCCCGCGCGCTTGCCAAACTCGACGCTTTGCAGGCTGGCGCCAGCACCGGAGGCGACAAGTGGAGCCATGTCCTTGAGGTCCTTGAGGTCCTTCAGGTCCTTGAGAGGACTTCGCGAGACTTTCTTGGGCAGTGCTCGGGCGGGGCCGCGACCACGGCCGCGCCCTCGGCCACGCGCCCGGATGCGAAGTTGCTGCAACGCTTGCAGCGATTTGGTCTTTGGCCGGGGCTTGGGCTCTGCCACGGGCCTTGGGGAGACAGGGATCAAAGGAGGCATCTCTGGGTCTGTCCCACTGTCATCATCCGCTGACGCTGCGGCTGCCATGGCGTCTCTGCGTGTGAGGTTAGACCGTTCCCTACGGCCACGTCTATACGTCTAGGCGTCGTCTAGTCACTGCTGTGCAAGTGAATAGGAGAACCACCTCCCCACTTGCAACCTGTGAATCCTGCGAGCTAAAAGGGCCAATCACGCTCTTCGTTTCCTGATGCTGAGTCTTTTTTAAAGCTTCAAGGCAAACCTGATTTAGGCTCGTGCCAGTGCGACCACGCTGCGGACACTCCATGGGGGGGGGGGGCATGTGTCTGAGTCGCGATCCCTCGGTGTACCCACAAGCCCCAGAATTCCGAGAACTTTTTCCATGGGCTCCGGGCATAGACCATGGAAATCACCGCAGCAGCAGTCCCAAAGGCCTCGAGCACCGGAGTGATGCTGAGGCTCCTTCTCCACTCCAGAAAACCCTTAACCTCAACCTTAAACCCACAAAACTCACAAAACCCACAAAACCCACAAAACCCACAAAACCCACAAAACCCACAAAACCCACAAAACCCACAAAACCGACAAAACCCACAAAACCCACAAAACCCACAAAACCCCCCAAACCCCCCCAAACCCCCCCCCAAACCCCCCCAAACCGCCCCAAAACCCTTGGGAGGCACCTGTGGGCCCATGTCATTCTCTCGGACCTTCGTCATCTTTGAGCAAACCTCCGGCGAAGAGCAGCACACTTCCCCGAGCCCTACGGCCAACTACATGTCTTGAGCAGTTTCGGTGTTTGAAGGATCCCTTCTCGGGTAGCCCGCAGAAAAAGCAACCCAAGCAGAAGACCCAAACTTTGGAGAACTGACCAGAGGCATCGGGTCAGATGACCACACTGCCTGCGTCAGCACAACGAAGAAGGTGCCAGTGAACTCTGCGGCCAGGGGAGCGCTCTCCTCACCGGGAAAGAACGTGGACGATTACGCACTTTACATGTTCATGAGTAGCAAAAACAGATGAGGAGAATTATAAATGCCCTGCTTTTCACTCATGATAACTCTTTGTCGTGCCGGGCTGATACAAGAAGAGGCTGCAAGGCAGTGCCGCAATGTACAAGCAGCTTGCCAAGCTTGCTTTGCCAGTCGTGCTTCCCCGATCTCTCCTGGATGTTGTCCTGGTGCACAAACGAAGATGAAACAACTGAACGGACTGTTGCAAATTCACTGCGGGCCAGCCTCAGCCACTGGCACAAGGCTGTTGGCGAATTCCTCGACCGGAGGGATTACAGTCTTCCAGATACATCATCATACCGATAGCAGCGCACCCGAAATTGTAGCTTGTTACATTTCGTGGTAGCTCTGTTGCTTGCGCCTCCAACGTTGCAAGCAAACACAGCACTTCCATGGCAGCTTTCGAACCCTTGTACATCCTGAATCGATTTGGGGAGCGGCTGGTAGGCAGCACACACTTGCAAACAGCCTGCGGTCGCACCACGCGGTAGGCGCCAGCTGCTAAGAAGGCACCCAACCTCAGGCTTGCAAATGCTTAAATGATGGATTATAAGCCATACTGAAAATGCTGTATGTTATATACTTGTATGTATGTATATTTATATATATATATATATATATATATATATGAGCCCGCAACCTTTAGGGTCTATTCTGTTTATCGGTATTTACGAGGGGTTTCAGAGGGAAACGGAGAAACCGAGATCATGGGGGGACCATATATATATATATACACACAGTATAAATATATATATATATATATATATATATACAGTATATATTATACAATATCATATGAACGCCCACATGTGTGCTTATTTGAACTTATATTTATCTTTGCTCTTCTTACACAATATGTGTATGCATACTTGAAGTATTTGAATTTACACCCATAGGCATATCTGCATTTGGTTTACACTTGTTTGTAATGTGCGTGTTATATATTGTACTACAGATATACTTATTACAATTATTGTGTATAGAGTGAGCGAAACTTTTGCTTTTGCCATAAGACCGCTCCGGAAGCTGCACATGCAACAGCCCAGCATCTGGCAAGTCATAGAAGAAGTATCCCAAGCCTGTCGAAATGGGCCAAAATTGCAACAACTCTACTGGTAAAACTTTAAAAACAATTCACGTTTGCCCAGCCTTGCCCCAGGGAAACAGAATCGCTTTTCGCCCACACGATTAGGCCAATCGAAATGGCCGAGTTGCTGACCTGCACGGCACACAACCAGAAGGACCACAACACAGCACGTCCAAGCAACTGATCCAGCACAGATGGTACCGGCTGAAACGATGCTGCTTGAAACAACACTGAGGGCAGCGCTGTCCTGCACACTCCTGAAGCAGCATTGTGGCTGGCCAGGTAACCTCAGGTGAAGCACCGGGCTCGTCCGAAGCTATGACCCGAGGCGACCTGGAGCCCTTGGAGAAGCTGCAGGAAGCACTTCTTGTCTTGGGCAAACTCCCGGCCAAGGCACAGAAGCCATATGAAAGTCCGACGAATCCTGAGGTAAAAAAAGCAGCAACTCCCTGAGGGCCCTGTGTGAAGACTCAGTGAGACTCCGAGGAATCCGAGGATTACGAGATAAGCCCTGTGCCATTTTGATCACCCTTGGGGTTGTTCTTGGTGGAGGCCGCGCAGTTGAGATACACGATGCCTTCTCAGAGCATCCCCCCATTTTCAACTCGCAGGTCGCCATGCAAGGAGCAACCACGGCGATGCCAGGGCGAGGGCACATCATCGCCGCAAAGGTTGTCTCAAGCAGGGCCACCTGTCAGAGAAGGATCGGAACAGGCGAGACAAAGGGGTGGTTTCCCAACCTGCGGCTCAGAAGCTTGCCTGGAACCAGTTGTGGCCGAGGATAGGGCCAAGTTGAAAATCCTTGCCGATGCCCGCCTCTGAACATGGAGGACTGTGAGCTGTACAGTATCTACTATATGATATATACATATACTATATCATATATACTATATCCGCCGACCCCAGCCAAGGGCGGCGTCAGTGAAGACCCACTGCTTTTTAGACCTTCCACCGCGCTTGCCGCTCCCACCCCCACCCCCACCCCACCCCGACTCCCACCCGCCCCCACCCGGCCAATGAAAAAATGATTGGGGCACACAGCCCTCCCGGCTCTCACCACCCTCCCCCCCCCCACCCCACCCCCACCACCCCCACCTCAATCCCCCCTTCCCTGCGCGCCCACCACCACACCCACCCCCCCCTCCTCAACCCCCCTCCCCCCCCTCCCATACTCCCTCACAATGAGACAATGATTTAAAGGGTTCTAGCACATCTCCCAACCCACCCCCAAACCCCCCCCCACCCCCCCCCCCACCCCCCCACCCCCCCATCCTCCCGCACGAGTGAGACCGCTCCCACACCGCCCACCCCCACCCCCCCCACCCACCCCCCCCACACCCCCCCCCCAACCCCCCGTTTGTTCCAGCCACTCCCACCCCCACCCACCAACCCCCACCCCCCAAACCCCCCCCCCCCACCCCCCCCCCCACCTCCCACATGCCGCTTGAAATCCCCACCCTCCCCGCCCCCACAGTCCTGCTGCCTGCTTCATCACCCCGCTCACACTTGCAGTGCATGCCCAACCCTCGCGCCCCCACCGCCCCCAAAGACATGAATTTCGGGAAAATACAGATATAAAAAGATAAAAGATAACTAAAAGATATCTCCTTTATCTTTCGGTCTTCATGTTTACCAAAAACTCATTATATACTTTAAAAGACGATGTGTATAGATATTAATTATGCATAGAACTCATTCTTTTTAAATATTTTTTGCTACAGCCCTTAACTGGCTCTGCGGTTTGCCGGCCTGCCGCCCGCCCTCCTGTCTGGGGTCGGCGGCACTGGCGGTAGCCGTTAAATGTACATATAATCTACAATATACAATATATAAACTGCAAACTCTCACCCCTCCTCCCCACCTTGCAGCACAATGCAACGGCAGTGATGGCTCCAAGGATCTGGGCCTTCTCGTTCGACGGAGCTTTGGGTTTAAAAGGATGTTTTCGGGCTTTGGGCACACACACACACAGCACACCTCGGGCACATGGAAGCACAACTCAGGACCCGGGCAATGCACAGGAAACCTGCAGTGCGTATCCGCTGCCTCCCTGCCAGGGCTAGGGCAAGGCTCACGGACCTCGGAGCAGGAGAGCCTAAGGCTCCGAGGAGAGCCTAAGGGTTTAGGGTTTCGGGTTTAGGGTGTAGGGTTTAGGGTGTAGGGTTTAGGGTTTAGGGTTTAGGGTTTAGAGCTACACACACGAGCGCAGTCCCAGGCCGGGGCGGATTCAGGCTGGACCCAGTGATGTGCTTCGTCGCGGACACCTCTCTCGAAGGATGCGACCAGCGCTGAGCCTGTGGATTCGGCCCCTGAGGCCCATGCCATGCCCACCACCATAAACGCCTCACGGCACGCAAATGACGTGCGAAGAGTCTGGGGCGGGCGAGTGAAGGATCAAACAACTCAAAGGTCCAGGGGACCAACCAAAATAAATAAATTAAAAAGACAATGCTCGCATGGTGGGTTTGGGAAGGACTTATATATGTCTCTTCTTCTTCTTCTGCTGGGCTTGAAGGCCCGAAGGCCCGCGCGCGAGCGCGCCCGAAGTTCCGGTCTTCCGTGAAACTTCCCCCGAGGTGCTGTGAGGGTCGAAGCTTTCCCACAACCATCTCCCCCCCCCCTCATAACCCCTATATGCTGTAAGAAGTCATGTTTTGCTTCCCTCCTCAGGGCGTTTCCCCTCTGCACCTTTCCGGGTTCCTTGGTACGTGTTGCTCCCCAGTCCTTTTCACCAAGGAGGCTGCTACACTATACACTAGAGCAGGAGTTCTGGAGGTAACCAACCAACCATACGCTAGAAAACGCCTACTTTAGGTTTCCGTATATATGTCTCTCTCTCTCTCTCTCTCTCCCCTAACGTCTCTTCCTTTCTTCTCTGCACCCCAAGGGGCGTCCACTAGCCATCTAATCCGTGGCTACTTTTACGGGTTTAAGGGTCTTTGAGGGGAACAACGCTGTAACTACCAACTAGCAGTGTTTTGGGCATGGTATCGGGCGTTGCTGCCCCCCACCACAAAGAAAGAAAAAAACACAGAAAGAACGGATGAAAGACATAGAAAGAAGGAAGAAAGACAGAAAGAACAGGGCCTGACAGAGTTTCGTTTGGTGTCGCCTGAGTTTTGGCACGTTTATTCTCTGCTACCTGATGCGTCCTGCTACAAAAAATGCATTTTCCCAGGTTTGTGTAAATATGCACCGACAAGCCATATACACAAGCGCAAGGCGCACTACAAGCGCCGTTGCCTTTCCCCCCTGGTGTCAGTACAAGTCAAAGCCAAGGGGCCTGACAAATGGACTTGAAGGAAGGATCTATCCTTTGGTCCACATCCACGTTGCAAAGAAATGTAGCGGTCACAACCTCGCAGGTCTCACAAGTCCACGTACAAATAAGTACCCGAAGTACCCCCGAGACATTATCAAAACCATGGTGGCAGAGGCGTTCAGATTCAGAGTGACATCAGGCCCCGACAAGCGTCCCCCAATACTCCTTGGAAGATGGTCACTTTGACTGCGAATGCACCTCCCTGGCCTCATAAAGGGAGTTAGTGCAGACGAGAGTCGGCAATGTACGGAGTGAAGAGCTCCCAGCGCGAAGCGAAGACCGAGTTGTCTGCTGCTTGCAGCTTTCCGATGGGCTCTTGCGTCTCATCCTCCAGTCTTCGGCGAGCCAGGTCTCTTTAGAACTCAACAAGCCCACAACACGGAACACCACTGCCCACCACACTCAAGTTGCTCATAAGCTGCCCTTATGTTGCCCTCATGTTGCTCTCATGTCTCTCGTGTTACACGCATGTTGCTCCGCGTCCTCCGATGACCTCGCCATCCGACGCGCTCAAGCAAATGCAGAGTTCGTGGGCACGAGGCAGTGCAAAAACTGAGGCTCCAGCAAGGGTTCACGCAACTTCATGTTGCGCTCCCCTCAGGGTTCGCTACACAGATTGATATGTAAGGACGACATGGTTCTCGTCATCTTGAGCCAAGAAAAATGTCGCGCAAGGCCGACTTTTGATGAAAAGCCGATCCACAGAGTCGAACGCAAGATGGTGCCACATGATGACGCACATTGGCAGGCAACAGGCACGGGGTTTTGGCCACGTCACGTGAGTCCAGAGCAGAGAATTCACTCGTTTCTTCGAAAAATCGACCTCCCTAAGATCTGTATGGAGATAGTGATGATTCGCAGGGCAACGGTGTTGTGCCCGTTGCCACAGCAAATCTCTCTTTGGTCTTGAGCAAAGGGGGGCTGCATCCACAATGCGCCGCATCCTCTACTCCAAGGTTGAGCTTGCTCCGCTTGCTCTGCGTTGCCCACAGCGCGCTGGAGACTGCTTGGCCAAGGCACGGATGGAGTCTGCTTGATTCTGTGCCCCCATGCTGTCAAGTGCCGCGGCAACTGCCGCCAAGCTTCCAGGGCCGTAGCGAGGAGCTTGCCAACCATTGGATGGCACCTGCAAGGCCAACAAGGCAGCTTCTTGAACTCGACTCGCCTTGAGCAGCCCTGCAAGTACAGGGCCTATGCTCAGGCTCTGTTTGTCCACAGACTTCGGAGCCTCTTTCAGCCATTGCATGGCTCGATCCACCTGCCCTTCGTCAGCCCACGCTTCGATGACCGAGTTGAAGCAAAACGCGCTTGGCTGCCCAGCAACATGCTTTGCTTGCTTGGGGCAGTTCGCAAGCATCTGCTTCAGCCACATCTCTGCTCGAGCGGGATCACGCGCGCTCACCCAGGCATGGATAAGCGTACTGTAAGTGACTGCATCAGGTTGAATGCCGCGGTTGCACATGACGGGCAGGTACTCTTCGGCTTCTGCACGTCGGCCAGCCTTGACAAAGGCATTGACCAAGGAATTGTAGGTAACCAGCACAGGATGCAAGCCATTCTGCTCCATCCTTCGCAACCACACTTCGGCCCTGTCTGCATTAGCACATCTTGCACATGCATTGATCATGCTGTTGTAGGTGACAACATTCGCCGGCACACCAGACGCCTCCATCTTTTCAATCCAGGTCTCGGCTCGCTCCAGCTGGTTGGACTTGGCACATGCATGGACCAAGGCTGAAAAGCTTGCGACATCTCCTTGGCATCCGACATCGACCATCTCCTCAAACCACTTCTGGGCCTGTTCCACGTCGCCGCGCTGGGCGTGCGCGCTGATGAGAGCGTTGTACATGCCGCTGACAGGCTCGCCGCCTGCGTCCCTGTACTTCCGCAGCAGCCTTTCCAGGCGCTGCACGTCGCCAAGCTTGGCAATACCATGGAAGAACTGGGTGATCACAGAGGCATTGGCCTCCAAACCTTTCGACGCCATGCTGCTGAGCCAGTACTCGCCACGAATTGCATCACCGGCGCAAGCCTGAAGCATGGCCAAGTGGCTGGCGGCGTCCGGCTCCAGCCCTGCGTGGATGAGGCACTTCATGCATCTCTCCGCACTTGGGACATCCTTCTTTGAGGCAAAGTGCGCCAGAATGGCATTGAAACAGGCGAGCTCCGGCGTGAAGCCTTCGGAGATCATGGTCTCCAGCAGCTGGAGAGCACCAGAACTGGCATCCGTCACGGCCTTCACCAGCAGCTTCCATGTCATGCCGTCGGCACGCACCGCCCTCTCCTTGAAGCTTCGCAGGCAGTCGATGGCCCCGCGGGTATCCCCCAGGCGCGCATACCCACCAAGCAAGAGATTCAAGGTGCTCGTGTTCACAGGCACTTTCTTGGAGTAGAGGGTCTGCAGGAATCGTTCGGCACATCTCATGCTCGATTTGCAGTGTGCGGACAAGACCATGTTGTAGCTTGCAACGTCGGCCTTGATGCCCGCCGCCTCCATGCGGCGAATCCAAGCCTCTGCCTCAGCGGCACCGGCCTTGCCCGATTTGGCGGTGCAGTCGATGATGGCCCCATAGCTTGTCACGGTCGGCTGCACCCCGCTCTCTTGCAGGCGCGCGAGCCAATCCTGTCAACATGCTGTCGCAACTGCGCAATATGTGATTCTACAAGTAGGATGCGTCTTAAGCCCTATAGGCATTCCTTTCCTGTTGGGGGGCACTCAGGTGACTAACTTAGACTGGTGTGTTCCTTACACTAAAAGCGAGTCCATGCTGTGGTCTGTCCTCGGCCCGGCGGAGTTCGCCCCGTCGGCAGCAGGCGTGGATGACCGAGTTGTAGCAGATGACATTGGGTGTCAGTCCATCTTCAGCCTGCATTCTTTCGAGCCACTGCTCGGCCCGGTCAGCGTCGCCCGCCTTGGCACACGCGTGAAGCACGGAGCTGAAGCTCACAATGTTGGGCCCGGGCCCTTGGCGGACCTTTTGGAGCCAGTGCTCAGCACGATCGATGTCACCTGCCTGGGAAGGGCGGTTAGTTGCAAGTCACTTGTAACTTTCAAGTGCTTTCATCAAAGCTACTTCGTTGCAACCTGCTAGCTACCTTCGAAACCCGCCTGATCCCCCGAAGGGTCTTGACAACAGACCTTGCTTAGTTGTTATATTTTTCACGTCCTCTCACCATGTCACGTGCTAGGGTCTGCCACACTTTTGAGGAGTTTAGGATGTTGCTCCTGGCATCTCCCCTCCTGATTTTGGGGCTTGGGGTTTGCCTCCGTGTTTGCCACCCAACATTGTGATTTTCGGATTCGCCACCTAGCAGGTTATGGTGACAGTTTCGAGTTTGACACCTTTTGAACCTTTTTTGTCTGGCTCAGGGCCACCCGACATCTCCTTTCGGGGCGTCGGGGTTCTTAAGAGCTAACACGGATGTCTTTTCAAGCTTTAGGGGTGCCCTGCAAAAAACATCGCGTTTTAGGGCTTAGGTCGCTTTGCCACCCAACATCTCCTCTCCTTGGGCTCGCAAGGGGGGAGGGGGAGGGCACCCCGATAGCCGGGGGTAAAGGGCTTGAGGCCCTGAGATACAAAAAGCTGCAACTAAGCAAGCGAAACTGTTGACCAACCTATAGCCACCACCTGCCTGCGCGCAGGCGTCGATCACGGCGTTGTAGGTCATTATCTCTGCCTCCAGCCCCAAGCGGGGCATCTCCATGAGCCAGTACTCAGCCTTGGCAACATTTCCCTGCTTCGCAAAGGTCGAAATCACCATGTTGACGCTGATCACGTTGGGCTTGCCGATGCCCTCTGCAATCAAAGCCTTCAGCCATCTCTCAGCTCCATGGGCGTTTCGATTGCGGGCAAAGGCGCTGATCACAGCTCCAAATGACATTGCACTCAACTGCTTCGTCTTCCGCATCTTTGCCAGAAGGGCCTCGGCTGTGCAAGTGTCTCCGGCACGTGCAGCTGCCTGTAGCCTCGGCAGAATGTTCGCCTCCATCTCTGGGTATTCTGGGTACATCTCGGCATCTGAATCATCGCAATGCTCCAACTGTGACTTGACATCCAGTGCTTTGGAAGCGTTCTTGGACTCATGGTGTGTCACGCTTGGCGACACCTTCTGGTAGCAGCGGCGGCCGAACTCGAGAGCACAAAGGAGTGCCACAATGACCAGCTCTTCAGATGCAGCGGAGATTGGCAACCATCTATCACACAAAGCGAAGGCCAGAGCCGCCAAAACTGCAATAGACATCACCTGCATCATGGAGAACCCATCGTCTGAGTCGGACAAGACACGCTGCACCATCTGCATCATCGCTTTTGTCAGGAAAGAAGAGAACCGGCTCAACGGTGAAGCCAACTGTCACGAAACTGAAGGTAGTTCGAAGAAGTAGCGCAACTGGTGCAAAAGTAATCGAGGAAAGCGAGGAGTACAGGCAAGCTCGCACAGGGTTTCGAGCAAGGCCTGCAATTGGACTTCAGCCCAAAGGCTGCAGCGATCAAATATTGAAACAAAAACAGCCACAACTCAGACTCACTGCGGGACTCCTTCTCTGCGCCGTCTCACACTCTGCGCGCTTTTTGGGACACGGGCTGCCTTGCCGTCCGCCCATGAGTTCACGCAACTTTGCGCGCCAGCAAGGTCGAGCTGAAGGGCCAGGCCGGGATCTTTCAAACGGCCCCGTGAGTCATTAACTGCCAGTGCACGCTTTGGCACACTTTGGGGCACACTTTGGGGCACACGTTGGCACTTTTTGGCACCTTCTTGGAGCTGTCCACTCCTCATCCATACCTTTCCCCTACTTGCGTGCTGACACTCTCGTCACTGGAGGCAGTTGAGATTCAGCTCCGCCTCCGCTTCGCGTCGAACAGTTTGCCCTTGGGACGCCGAGTCATGAGCCACCGTCGCGGACTCGAAGATCGCCCTAGTCATTTGCAGTCTCCTGGGCATTTTCATGACTAAGACCAACTCAACCAAGGCACCGCCAATGCTAAGCACGTCACTCTACCTAATAAAGTTCCAACATGCAAGCTCACGTGATGTTGCCGAACTCCTTTCATCTCGGCAGATCATTCCGGTTCAGATCAGCACTCCGTGACAGACGGTCCTTCTCGCAGGCGTCTGGTGCATCGGCCTGCGCTTGCTCCTCTGCAAGAAGTGACTTCTTCCGCATCAACCTCCCGAGTATGCCTTAGGATGCCTTGACGGCACTCCGCCTAAAAAGCTGCATGCTCGTGTCCTCCTTAGCCTCCACATTGGCTTCCGGCTGGTGCTCAGGACTGCTCTCCTGGTCAGGCGCAAGATCACCCGACTACTCCTGCATGTTCCAACGTGCAAGCTCACGTGATGTTGCCGAACTCCATTCAATCTCGGCAGATCATTCCGGTTCCGATCAGCACTCCGTGACAGACGGGTCCTTCTCGCAGGCGTCTGGTGCATCGGCCTGCGCTTGCTCCTCTGCAAGAAATGACTTCTTCCACATATTTCCGCATCAACCTCCCGAGTATGCCTTGACGGCACTCCGCCTAAACAGCTCCCTGCTCGTGTCCTCCTCAGCCTCCACATTGGCTTCCGGCTGGTGCTCAGGACTGCTCTCCTGGTCGGGCGCAAGTTCACGCGACTGCTCCTGCCCTGCATACGAATGTTCCAGCATGCAGGCAGATCATTTCGGTTTGATTCAGAACGCCGTGACAGAGAGGTCCTTCTCGCAGGCGTCTGGTGCATCGGCCTGCGCTTGCTCCTCTGCACTCACTTCTTCTAGCATCGTCAAGAAATGTTTTTCCGCATCAACCTCCCGAGTATGCCCTAGCATGCCTTGACGGCACTCCGCCTAAACAGCCCCCTGCTCGTGTCCTCCTCAGCCTCCACATTGGCTTCCGGCTGGTGCTCAGGACTGCTCTCCTGGTCAGGCGCAAGTTACGAATGTTCCAACTGCAAGCTCACGTGATGTTGCCTAACCCCATTGAATCTCGGCAGATCATTCCGGTTCAGATCAGCACTCCGTGACAGACGAGTCCTTCTCGCAGGCGTCTGGTGCATCGGCCTGCGCTTGCTCCTCTGCACTCACTTCTTCTAGCATCGTCAAGAATGTTTTTTCCGCATCAACCTCCCGAGTATGCCCTAGCATGCCTTGACGGCACTCCGCCTAAAAAGCTCCATGCTCGTGTCCTCCTCAGCCTCCACATTGGCTTCCGGCTGGTGCTCAGGACTGCTCTCCTGGTCAGGCGCAAGATCACCCGACTACTCCTGCATGTTCCAACGTGCAAGCTCACGTGATGTTGCCGAACTCCATTCAATCTCGGCAGATCATTCCGGTTCCGATCAGCACTCCGTGACAGACGGGTCCTTCTCGCAGGCGTCTGGTGCATCGGCCTGCGCTTGCTCCTCTGCAAGAAATGAACTCTTCCACATATTTCCGCATCAACCTCCCGAGTATGCCTTGACGGCACTCCGCCTAAACAGCTCCCTGCTCGTGTCCTCCTCAGCCTCCACATTGGCTTCCGGCTGGTGCTCAGGACTGCTCTCCTGGTCGGGCGCAAGTTCACGCGACTGCTCCTGCCCTGCATACGAATGTTCCAGCATGCAGGCAGATCATTTCGGTTTGATTCAGAACGCCGTGACAGAGAGGTCCTTCTCGCAGGCGTCTGGTGCATCGGCCTGCGCTTGCTCCTCTGCACTCCCGTCCATGCCGTGATGGCGCTTTGCCCAAGAAACTTCTTGCTCGCGTCCTCCTCAGCCTCGAAATTGGCTTCTGGGAGACGTTCAGGACGGCTCTCCTTATCAGGCAAAAGGCATGTTCCGGCATTTATCCGTTGATGTTGTGCAATGCACCTGCAGATCCTGCTGCTTGGCATCTGGTGGATCAGCATGCGCTTGCTCCTTCAGGGGAGTGATGCTGCAGCCATCCGGCGAACTAAGCTACGCAGGCCAATCAGACTACCTCCAGCTGGCTTGGCTCATCCAAGCAATGACAGACGAAAGATCTTCTTCTGAGGCCTCCAATGTAAATCAAGTCAGTACACAAGTGTGCTGCGCTGCGCTGATACATCCTAGCGCCCCCGCAGGCCTTGTCAGCAGAAAGTTCGTGTCCGTGGACGCGCGCCAGGTTTAACACAAGGTTAAGGTTGATCCCAACAAGCCACACATTCCCTCGCACTCGCGCGCCCAACCCCAGCAGAGCAGCACAACATAGCACGGCGTGTTCGAGCTGGGAAGCCCTGAAAGACCACGGGATTTCCGGCACGCTGTGCAAAATCCACTGAACCTTCTCTCCTTCTGCATCCTTCTCCCTCACTGCACATACGCAGCTGATCACAGACTTGCATACTACAGGCCAAGCAGTGACAGTCAAACATTGTCCTCGACCTGGCAACTTTCATCCTGGTCGCCCAAAGAACCTAGCAAGCGCAAGCGCAAGGGCAACAGGAGAAGTTGCGGAGAAAGTCTGCCCCGCAGCCTGCCTTTTGCGGCCGCCACAGCCACAGCGGCTGCCTCCCGGGGCCCGAAATGCTGTCATGTGCTACAGACTTGAAATCAGCTTCCAAACAACCAAGAAGGCAGAAGAAGGGCATAACAAGTGCAGAGTCAGGAATGAAAACCAGAGTCTTTTTGTTCAGATACAAGGGCCGTATGATGGAGACTCGCGGGACCGTGGCGGAGCTTTGCCCACCTCGAGGGCCGCCGCCGGCGGAGCAAGAGGCTGCGTCTTGCTTTCCCCCGCCGCCGATCTGCCAGAAAAGGCCCGCAAAATGTAGGAGGGATATGGTAGGGTTACACTGCCCAAAGCAGGACCATCATGTGCGAACACCCCTGCCAAAGCAGCCTACGTTTTTGCAAGCATGAGCCTCGCCACCTTCTGTCGCCGGGACTGCAGCATGGCCACAAACTGCTCGACCTCTCGGAGTTGCGGACATCATCCCTGGGAGGTCGTGCTCTGAGTCTTCATAGGTGCCACCAGCCTCCTTCGTTCCCTTCAAGAAATAGAGCGCCTAACATCTCAGATATCCCCAGCATCAAAAAGACTTGCTTTGGCTGCCACGTTCGGGCTCTCGAGATTCTCAGCGCACCGGCAAAGACAATCTCTGAGTCAACTGCGGCAAGTACCGTTGTCTTCACACCTTGAGGACTCCGCTCCTCCTGGCACAAGCTCTCGCGTGAACAGTGCACATCCCGTCACTCCCCTGTTGAAGCTGATACGCGCAAAGAAACGCAAGGACCTTGAAGCAGAACTTGGGACTTCGGCCCCGGTGGGATCAGGATTGGGCTGGTATGGCCAGGCAAGTGCCGATTTCGCACCTGGATGAGGGTCACTGTCTGCGGGCTCGATTTCTTTGAGGTCACCTGCCGAACGCTTTAGAAAGTCTTTGGCTGTTTGTACAGGACCCACGGCCTTGGTGACCCGATGAACCTCGGTGGGAGATGCGCGTACATGCAATAGTCATGCAATGAAGCTGCAAAGGCTCGCAGCATGGCAGAAGCTTTGCTGGGGGGCAAGAGACCCGACGCACCTTCAAACTCAACCAAGCAGCGCTAAACTGCACCAGCACGGCGGCGGTGTCGTCCGGCATCGGAAGTGTGCCTCAGAAGCGATGAAGCCGGAAAGCCGCCGAACTCCCCAAATAAAAACACAGCACCCTTCTTAGTGGGGACCCAGCATGCCACCATGTCATTGTCAATGAACAGGGCGGCCTTGCAGCCAGAGCCTGGAGGACCCGCTACTGCTCAGAGTTCAGGGTTCAACTTTAGGGGCTTCGATGGGTTAAAAAAATGGGTGGAGTTTTTTTTTGGGTATTTTTTTTTTGGGGGCTTTTTTTTTTTTTGGTCGATTTCCTTGGTTTTCTCTAGGAAAAACCCTACTTTCCTTACATTTTGGACGGATTTTCTGTCATTTCCCTGAGGTTTTCGTTGGTTTTTCATAGGGAAAAACCTATTTTTTTACATTTTGGACGGATTTCCTGTAATTTCCCTTAGGTTGAAGCACGCTCTGCACGGCTTAAAAAAAGCGGGGGGGTTGGGGGGGGCGCAGCCCCCCCCATTTGCAAACACAATGCGCACACGATGTTTTTCAACTAGTTTCTTGGGCTTTGAAGCACGCTTGGTACAGCTTAAAAGAAGCGGGGGGGTTGGGGGGGGCGCAGCCCCCCCCATTTGCAATGCTCACACGATGTTTTTCAACTAGTTTCTTGGGCTTTGGAAGCACGCTTGGTACGGCTTAAAAGAAGCGGGGGGGGTTGGGGGGGGCGCAGCCACCCCCCATTTGCAAACACCCTGCTCACATGATGGGTGTCAACAAGTTTCTTGGGCTT